GAGAAAAGACAACATGTGCAGAGGCATCTCATTAAAACAGAATACATCTTATTGAGCTTATGTAATATTCAAGCTTTCTGGGAAAAGAAATTAGCTGAAAGCCATAAACAACAAAATCAGTCTGAAAAAGAATCTATCCCAATAGGAAAGCAGACAACAGATGCATTAATCTCCAACTTATTTTACACATTTTTCCATCTGATAAAAATCCATAGGCCTTTTCACAAAAATTTTGACATAAATCCACCACTTTTGCTCACATTTACACTTTCAAACTAAGCAAAACAGTGAGCCTCAGGACAGAATCCTTGTGCGTGTTCAAATACTTACAGCATGGTAGAATCAGAGGTAACAAAAGCATATTTGCAGTCCTCTGATTTAGTTCTTTACACTAAAATAGGCTTCACTTCCACCTTGCCACTACCTCTCCTAAAAAATGCAACAAACTCCACCCATAATTTCCCCTCCATTTTATGCAGCAGGAAGTTGATATGAAACGAAACTTTTCCACCTGGGAAATAATGAGCTTTTGATTGGACCATAAAAATTTATGGTCAGCTGGTATTTTGTTTAGTATAAGTTGATGATATGATGCAGTTCACATGTTCATTGCTTATTTATAGATCAGTAGAAAAAAATTGACAAGAATATTACAGTGGAACTCTGTTATGTCCTAACAACATGATTTTGTTCCTGGTGCTATAAATACTTAGGAAGTTTCTACCAACCCTTGATTTTACCTCATTGGAGAAGCTGAAAAAAGGCTGAGCTAAACAGTTGCCATTTGGTTTTTGGGCAGTTAAATCAACCCTGCAAAAAATATTTAGAGATTTTGTCAGATGTTTCAACAAAAAAAACATATTACCAACCTTAATAAGGGGAAAACAGAAAAACAACTGTTTTTTTTCTTAACTTTTTTGCTTTTGCACCTTCACTGTGTGGGTGAGCTTTAGGGGAAAAAAAACATCTAACCAAAAAAAAAAAAAGCCAAATACTGACAGGCTCCCAGTCAGCCAGAATAGTTTGTGCTTGTTTAGGTGGAGCTCTCGAAAAACCTGCACATCAGTCATTCTGTCAGAAAGGTGCCCGAGGTTCAGTTCGACTCTGGGGGAGAGGAGAAGAAAAAATAAAAGAGCAAACGGCAAATGCAAAGAGAGAGGGATGAGCACAAACAGGAGCAGGCTCACTGTTCTGACCTGCAGAATGAGTCTGTAATGTTGCAAAACAAGATCTGAAACGCTCAGTGCATCGCTGGTGGCTCTGACTCGTCAGCTCAGAAATGTTACAGGTGAAGTCGATGCCAGAGAAGGTTATTACGCCACGTTAATGTTTTGTTAAGAGTCTTTAGGCCTTAACGCTCCCTGTCGGAAGCATTTATTCCATATTTTGCTTTGATTCCAAACATCAGACCGACTTTAAGTTGCTTAGTAGCTTTCCATGAATACTCAAGAGCTTTGGAACGAGTCATCCTGGCTGCATGAAGGTCTTGTGCCTTGCTCAAGAACCTGTGTAACCATGTAACTTGTTTCTTTGTCCCTCATTTATCAAATAGCACAACAATACTACCACTCCATGACCTCCATATTCAGCATCTGTTTTCAAAAAACTGGGACTGAGCCCAAGCACTTCCAGGAAGATAAAAATCTGGCCCGCTTTTTCTCAGCAAACTGGTAATTTAATGAGTGCCTCATCCGCTGCCTCCTCTACGGCTCCTTTGATTAAATACTGTAAATGAGAAGCAAGCAGTAGAGGAGCAACCATGTTGCTGTATTAATTTGCACAAATGACTGCATTCGGTTTGCAGCAAGAAAGTCATTTCTCTACCTCTTCAAATTTAGAAACACGATTACAGTGCCTTGCAATAGTATTCATAACCCCTTAGATTTTCTCCTGTTTTGTTACGTTACAGAAACAAGTCGTGTCGTATTTTATAGAAATCAACACAAAATAGAGTATGCAAGGGGTAAAAATGCTCTTGCAAAGTCACTACATACCAAAACGTTCTGCGTGTTGCAGGTTGTGCTTCGTTAAATCTGACTTCTGAGTTGCTGACAGCATTAGTGAAGCATCAGCCAGTTCCCACTTTGTCAAACTGTCGTCGGCAGACACCATTACCTCCGATAAGAGTCCAGTTCTGCTGATGTGCGCTTGCTTGGATGCAATCAAAATCACAGGCTCGTCTCGCTGCTTTCAGTCAGCATGCGGCTTTGGACCCCCTGCAGCAGATCATCTTCCCACGCCACTGGAATCCAGGCTGCAAGATGCGCTAAACTCTACAAGATGTGCTGAGCTTTGCTTGCATAAAACATTTATCCTGACGTCTGGACTAAAGTCTACAAGCAAATGCTTTCATATCTTTTTTCGTGATATTTCACATGTCAACCCTGTGCTGTTACTGTGTGATAGGCTGATTTAAAGTCCCATTAGATGCTGTTGTGAGAGGCTTCTCCTGACATGTGCACACGCTATGCCTCTGTCAGACAGGAATTCATTGCTTCACAACTACGGCTCAGTCATTCTTGTTAAGTACCAAGCATAAAAATCTGCTTACCTTCAAAGAGCTCAAAGAGAAGCGTTTGGTCACTAATATCTGCGCAGCCTTTTCACATTAGTGTCACCGTATTTCAATACTTTGGTTGCAAAATAATGACCTTCAAAGAGACCCTTAGCAGCAATCTATTTAAAGTGAATGCCTCTAAATATATATCTGCACATATATTTAGCCAAAATATGAATTGAAAAGAGAGTTTCTTGAAACTTCTAACGAGAAAACTTTCTGTTTCTCTTGGCGAGATGTGACATTTCAGATCACTAAACAGAAAAGTTTGGTTCCGTTCCTCCCTTCACAAATGCTAACATGCAGTTTGCTTAAACCAACTGAGAGTTTCAACAGAAACTGATTTGGTCGGTTGGGACTAGGACTGAGCTTTAAATTGAACAAACACTCCATGTGGGTTCAGTGTGAAGCCCAGGAAGAACAAGAACATCTTTGATGCTATATGGCTGGGTCATTTCTACAGGACATAAGACCCTTGTTAAAGTGCATGGCTCATAGACTTTGAAGTATCAAGATTTTTTTAGAATCTAGAGTACTGTACCAGGAGAAATCTGTACTAGAGTCCAAAACATATGAATCAACATAGAAACACAACCTTCTTTCAGTTCCCAAACCCAAATACTGGCACTCACTCCAAATACACTTTGAAGGCAACACTGTGAAAGACCTGAGGATGTGCAAAAAGAAGAGATTACAGATGCATGTCTTCCAAAACACAGGAGATGTTTTTGGAATTTGTGGTTTGGAGGGGAATTCTGAGTTGTGTCCTTGCCAACATCCTGAAGGACCAAAACAAAAAGATGGGGAAGGCAAATAATGTCACATTTGTTTTTATAAGGATCTAGACAAGTTCTTGGCAGCGCTGAAAGCTACTTTTGATGAGTCGATGAAGTGTCCTCTACATGGCGACAGCAGTATGTCCGCTGCTTCAACCACTTTCAACAACTGAACTCCAGTTTTTCCTTTTTTTTTTGCCTGTGTGTGTGTATGTGTATTACCCTGCGAATATGCATGCAGTCATGTTGAAAATTTGCATGATGGGCGCATCTGGGCTCAAGAGCGTGCATGTGTGTGTCCCTCCGACAGCAGGCTGATTAAGCTGTTGCATAGTAATGAGCTATGGCTGTCTGTCTGGCAGCTGCTCTTTTTACAACAAAGCCTCCCACTCGCACATACAAAGAAATAAACGGAATCATTACACACGCAGGGGAAAAAAATAACCACAAAGGCCATCAAAGATCCATTGTTTTAGATAGTATAATCACTGAGAAAGTTGTGCTAATGCAGAAGGAGAATTAGTAATTCACTCAAGAGGGAGATCATGGAACAACACACACACCGTGTCCCACGGCAGGAGTGCACTGCTACACTTCCTCTCCTTTATTCCTCGGTATTGTTTTTCCTTCTCAAAGAGAGCCGCTCAGGAATAACTCCAATTTCCTGCTTCCAATTTCTAGTGTGAACTCTGCACCTTAATGCCATCAACGTGTGGGTAATTACCCATCTATCGAGGGTGTATATATTGTTTTGAAAGAAGTTGGTTCCCCCCTATAGGCATGGGCGAGTTGCAAGGTACATTAATGTTTTAGTGAAATGGTTGCGCTATTAAACAAGCGTTCCGATTGTTGTCTTGAACCTCAGGAAGAGGTGTTTCATGTCTTGCTCATTTTCTTCAACTGGAAATGTTACCATGCAGCCAAAATTGCCTTAACTTGACTAGCAGTAAGTACAAAAGCCTTCTTTTAGACAGATAACCACCAGTGCACATCCAAAATGGTCAATGGATTAAGCTGTAAGAGCAGTGAATTATCCATCTTTTAGCTATTTGTCTGACTCCTAGCATCCTCGTCCAGCTAAAATTAAGCCTGAAGAAAAGAAAAAAAAAATCCATCTTAATCCTAAAGCTATTATTTGACAAAACTGATATTTCTGAACAGTTTTGGATATGCTGTACAATATTTAATAACAAAGGTTACCAGAAACATCACTTTTGTACATCACTATGCATTAAAAAAAGATTTGATTTCATTTTGCAGCAACAGTCTGTAATCGGGTTAAGCAATGTCAAATAGAAACAAATCAAGATATAAAAACGTCACAAAAAAAAGAAAAAAAATCAAAATGTTTCTTATTTTGTAGACTGCCAAATAATCAAACCCACCATTTATACAAACAAAAACAACTTTAAAAAATAAGCACGTGGCCCACAACTGTTAACAGTTTTTAAGCCATAATTGTATTTGGAAGAAGGTCTGAATGTGTTACTAATGCTTAATAAAGCATTTTCTGAACTATGCAAAGGCAGCAAAAGAGAGAGGTGATCGTGACTAAGTGTCGTTTTGATGTAAGGGGGTGGAGGGCAGCCCAGCCATCCCTCCCTCCCAGGGGACCCACTAATGCCCACCCGAACGCATAAAACCTCATGCCATATCCATCGCCTTACCTTGTTGACGTCCCCTTCCTCACATCACACATCATGCACTTAAAAGCCTCTGCCGTGTTCTTGTAGGTGCACACGCTGCAGTCCCAAAACCCCTCGTCGGAGGAGGGCTTCGGTTGACGCTTCGGCCTTTGAAGACAATAAATGTGGAAATGAAGGAGAAATAATAATAATAATATAAAATAATGAGTTTATAAGCAAAAATGAGGGGGGTAAGAGTGACTTCGGATAGCGAAACAAACCTCTGGTAAAAGCCTAAAGGATTCAGGAAACCATCATCTGCACGCGCGCCGTGATCTGACACTGTAATTGCGATGAGGTTTTTTTTAACACCCGAGCGAGGATACATGGCACGCGCTCATACACGAGAAGGAGAGGGAGAGACCGAAAGAGAAAAGCCCATTTTTCCTCCTTCTCCTCCTCCCCCCCCCCCCTCCGTGGACCGTGGGCTTGCCTCTGTGTCCGCTCCCCTCCCCTGGTTAAAATATTTACCTTGTGGGGCTCCGCTTGTCGCCCATGCCAGACCAGGGTTTATCTGGAGGAGCTGGGACGAGCAGAAGTCGTGTTATTTTCCGATTATCCCAGGAAAGAAGCGATGCGCCTTTTACCCGCTCGGCTTCCAGCTGTCGTGGAAACTCCGCTTGGGAAATCGCCACGTGACTCGAAACGGCCAATCAGCGTGCGGTTATTTCCTGAGGCTGACATTCCGCTTCTTGATGAATAATGCTGCGTTCAGGGACACCGTGGAAACTCCTGATAGTGAATCGTCCTTGTTAAATTGTACCGGAAACGAATTGCAGGTGCATCTACATTGATGAGAATTTAATTAATCGCATTATAAAAGTTAAGTTCATAATTATTACAGAATCACTGTGCACAGATTGATATGTTTCAATGTTTCCGGTCAGCGCTTACAGAAAATTAAAACCTAAAATGTGGAATGTCTTCCTATTGTAAAATATGTCCTTTATATCCTTTCAATGCTTGGTTTTACTGCAACAATAAAGCGTGCTATGGAGGAGATTGGGTTGATTTCCAACTTAAAATGCGGGATTTTCTTTCATCTGGAAACACAGAACAGCTAAACAGTTCAGTCACTTTTCTCTTTAGATCAGATGAGATGCGTCAGATATTGTCTCTGGTTCAATGCTGAAAACAAGAAATGGAACCATTACAACTTGTCCTTGGCACATCGGTGTGTGGAGTTGAACCACCGATTCCAGCAGCAGAAATCTCCTGAACCGGCCATGCTTCATAGTCCCTTCAAGTATACAGTGATTACTGGCTTCCACTAAACTTTCCAATAAATGGCAAAATGGATGGACTCAGGACTCTGCTAACTCAGTGCTTTATAACACTGAGTTTGCAGACGTAGTGGGTAATTCTTAAAGAAGTGAGACATGTCTCCATCCTATCTTATTGTCTTTATGTAATAGTTAAATCTTCTAAGAAAGTGATTTGTTTTATTTTCTATGTGTGTAATTCATGACAAGTAACAAAACATTGATGTCACTCTGCATCTGTGATCCATATTCAATAAATTAGAATATGAGTTGTTGGATTAAAAATGCCTTTTGACAACAACCTTTAAGGTTTTGCTTTTCATTATTGGGGTGATGTAATGATATTCTAATCTTAAATATGTTTTTATTAGATGTCCTCATAATTAACAGAAATAAATAATTGAAAACTGACAACGGCCCGTTCAACTTTCTTCTGAATTAAATTCTTTACTTTGTTCCTGTTTCAGGTTCTAAAACAACTGAACTAATTTGCCAACTGAAAAGCATTTAATTTTTTTTTTCTTCACAGTCGGTTTTGCCAAAGTGTTAGGAAATATATCTTTCTTCTATTCCCCATATGAATTAAACTTTTAATTAGCACCGGCCTTCAGCAATAAATATGTACAGTACACACACACACACATCAGAAAGCTAATTTTATTAAGAAAATATCTGAAGAATATAAAACATGACTTCACCAGAAAACAATTTGATAAATATATATGTATGCGGTGTAAAAGTCTGTGCATTAGTCGCTCAGTTCCTCCTCATCACTGAAGTATGCACTCTTTTTAATCCTTGGTTTCTTAGAGTCTGAGGATGTCGAGGCATGGGCATTGTCCTCTTCCGCTTGCCTTTTCTTTTTCTTCTCCTCTTCCTCCATGTGGGCTTGCTGGAGAGACACCCCAGAAAGACAGTTTGTTAGCTGATATAAACTCTACCATATTAGACATGCTGGAAAACAAAATGTGTCAAAGAGACAAGTCATTAGACTGTACATGAAAGAGGGAGAACAGATATTTTTTTCTTTTATTTGTTCTGATTGCAATTTTTCAGAGGGTCACTTTGGCCATTTGAACAAATTGGCTCATGAAAAGTTGAAGAACTTTATTTTCATCAATAGTTTTGTAATTCTTGCACTATAAATGCTGGTATGCTTAAATGGTTGATTGGTGACTTTGAGGCAATGTGACATGATTTTTGGCATTTAAAGTTTTTGCTGTCCCTAAATATAGTTTCCTTCTGAGATTGACCAGTTCTTGGCACCGTCCATTATTCCAACTTTTCGAACAAAAGTATCCATCCTGTTTTCCTGTACGAACGGTACTTTGAGGGTGAGACACAGTGTTCATTTTTCTGCACCAATTGCTTTGTATGTAGGCAAGATAGTTAAATTTTGGTCTGATCTGACAAGAAAACCTTGTTCCATATGTTTGCCACATAGGTTGTGGTAATCTGCAAATGGAACTTCTTAAAACTTTCTGGATATTTTTCTCTTTTTTATGGCAAGATTTTAACAGAAGCGAATCTAGCAAGAGATGTTTCTTATATACATGCTAAATATAAATACTGTAGGTCACACATATGGCAATGCAGAGAATTACCTGAAAAGCTATGGCTTGGCTCAAGCTATCCAGGGCAGGGTCTTCTCCTTCCTCTTCACTTTCTTCATCTTCCTCACTAAAAGAAATATATATGTATATATATCAAGTTATACAAAAATACGGTCTGTTATTCACTATAATACAATTCCTACATATGCTGAGGTTGTTGCAGCCTTTTCTTCTTCTTCTTTTCTTTCTTTTTTGGTGGCTCCCTCTCTCCAAGAAGGTTTTTAGGACATGCATAGCTCAGATGTCCCGTTTCCTGTAATGCATAGATTGAATTTACAACGTGCATCCCTACAAGTCTGCCTTTCCCAAAGTCGGGGTGTTCACTCACCCCACATTCATAACATCTGGTCTTGTCTGTGTAGTTCCGTCTCCTTATAAACTCTGTTGCTCGCCCGTTGTCTATAGCTATACTGGCTTTAACTGTTCTGCCAAACAACTGGGTGGATAAAGAAATTTCTTCTAACTTAGATTAAAGAAACACTGACAGAAATCTGTAGTTTATGCAAGCAGTCATTCAGTATTGCTTACCTGTTTGTTGTTCACTGCTCTTGCACAATTGTGAGCTGCTTCTCTGTCCAAGAAGAGGACAAACGCCACTCCTTTACTCTGTCGGGTGAATTTATCCTTCACTATTGTAACCCTGGAATAAACAGCACAGAAATTGTGAGCAGATCAAATGTTTTCTAATGCAACAAGCCAGACTTTTATAAAATAAAATAAAAATCAATCCAACTTGAATTCAAGAATGAGAGTAATATTACATAGAAATGTTTTTGTTTCTCTTTTGCTACAATTATGTAAGTTGTGATGTATTCAAGGCTAAACACTAACTTAATTTTTTTTCTAAAAGCGTCCAAGTGTAAATGCATCTGGTGACATCAAATAAGTAACAAAGGAGGTCAGGGAAGCCTGTATTAATCAAAATAACATTAAAGTTACTGAAAAAACCCCAACAAAAATAAAAAACCTAAACAAAACAAAAAATACACATGGACATTTTTTTGTAGTACTTCAGGACTGCTGCTTTGTTCATTACTCCCACCAAAATTGACCACATGAATAAATTAATAATTATCCCCATTAATAATGGATGCAGAACAGCTTATGTACACAAGTACAAAAAATAAATATCTAACCACTTGGCAGTCAAAAAAGTAGAGATGAACAGACCAGGCTTTCATAGCCAACCCAATTTTCTGGTTTCTTTGAGGTGCCTTGTGTTGCTAGGCGTTTGGCTCAAAACCTATGGTACTACCAAGTGCAAGCAAAACACAATTATTATTAATTTGGTTTTTCTTCAGGATAGCTTTTTTAAAAACTTTGCATTTGGTAAATTTCTGCAGGGCAAATCTACATCTAAGTGCCCTATATTTAATAATAATAATAATTATTATTGTTTTTTTAATTAACATAACATTTCAATTCATGTGAGGAATGGTTATAAAACAAGATACAAAAATGACAATACTTACTTCACGACTTTTCCATACTTGGTGAATAACTGCAAAGACCCAAATATGTATGTTGGTGTGCAAAAACTGACATATTAATTGACTAAGATATGTCGATATTAACTGTACTAAGACTCTTTGCATAGAATGATTTTCAAAAAAGCCATATTACCTTGTGCAGGTCGCTGTTTGTCAGAGAGAATGGTAGATTTGATACATAAACTGTGCTTTTGCTTGGAGCTAATCCACCACTCATAGTGGACAGGCTATTGATTCAAAACAATAATAAAAAAGAGCAAGATCACTTATCAATTTCAATTCAGTGTTGTAATGTTGCTTTGGTTTACGCAAGTGAGTTCAATACAGGACTTACCTATGTGGATTCCACTAATAAACCGCAGTTTGGTGATGTCAAAACAAGAAAAAGATTGTGTTTCAAAATAACGAAGCTAACAGAAACGAGACGCTGCCTGCTCGTCGCAGCTTGATGACGCATTCATTCTGATAACTACGTCTCGTGTAGCAACTCTGAAAGGCTAGGCTAGCTCAACGATAGTAAGAGGTGAGATTGTTTTGATATTTTCCGCTCAGAGAAATTGCTTTTTTAACTTTCTTTTTAAAATACGGTTGGCTGTGCACGACCAGAAGTGCTATACAGGTTTGTTGTGGGTAATTTATGCGCTAGTGAGTGAAAGCTAACCTGCACTTACGTTAAACAAAACGTGAGACTGTTTGCTGCACAGACGGGTTAGCCCAGTTAGCTCGTCTTTCTTTTTTATTCTGCATTGAGTTGGTGTATTTAATAGATTAAAACCAACGGTGTTGTGATAATAAGTGGCTGTCCCAGCTAACAGGGTAGAGGCGAGGTGTTCATTATGATATTCTAGGACAACAAGCCCAAACCAATACGGTCAAGTTAAACAGAAACTAGTTGTTTTGGTGGTAAAATAACATTTTAGAAGCTTCACGTTGAGCTATCTTGCATTCCAGCTTTATGTTGTGTTGTAAATCTTTCTATCAACGTATGTTTTCAGATAAAAAAAATTGTGCAAGCTTTCTTCAGAAATGTTACCTGTTCTATTTATGCAATTGGAAATCTCTCCACAGATTGATTTGAAGGTCGCATTTCCCGAAAAGCATTTAACCTGAAAAGTAAGTAACCAACCAAGCCTTTATAGTAGAGGCGCCATTTAAGGGACAAGTAAACACAACAAGGGTTGCATTTCACAATCCCAACCACAATACTACTACAAACATGTGCACATGTAAATTCTACTCTATGTATTGTGGAGCAGGCTAGGGAATCTGGCAACAGTACAACTACAAGTGGTGGTGGTGTAATAAATGTCTGTATTTTGTCACATCATTCAGAAAGTACAACTCATAAGTTATATGGATTGAATACACATGGAGAGAATTGTGTCAAGTGTTTATTTTTGTACTTTTGATGATTATGGCAAACTAATAGTGAAAAATCAATGCTATGTTAGATGATTAGAATATTGTGGAGAAGTTCAATTAATCAAGTTTATTTGCAGATTATTTTCAGCAGCAATGCGGTTCAAGGTGCTTTGCATGCAAAAAACGCAAAGTGTTGAGGAAAACACCATGCAGTCAACAATTGAACAAGCATTGCATTTTGATGAGTCCCATCACCAAAATAATACATGTCAAATATGTTGCTCAGTTTTTTGTTTATTATGGTTCAAAAGCAACTTTAAGCAGGTGGGATTTTGGGCTCGATTTAAAGCAACTTCAGTTCTTTTGCAGTTTTCTGGAAGTTTGTTCCAGATTTGTGGTGCTTACAATCTGAATGTTGCTTCTCCATGATTGTTTTTGGTTCTGGAGACGCAGAGCAGTCCAGAAACAGAAGATCCTGGTGGTCTGGAAGATGGTGCTGAGCCTTTCAGTGATTTTTAAAGTAACACAAGTGTTTTAATGTCTATTTAAAAAAAAGCATTTGTCGACTCTATATTAGAAACGCATGCCATATCCTCCACCACTGATGCAGTAAATTATCCGTTTTTGTTGATCTTAAGTAATGTCTTAATTTCAGGAGCTGCTAATTTATTTTTATTATTATTTTCATTATCTCTAAGCCATCATCATTAAAATTACAAGAATTAAATGCCTGACATATGTCACTCAGTTTCCTTTCTGCAATGTTTTTATATGATTGTCTCTTCACAGTGACGTACAGAAGAGACAGAAGTATACGGGAGGTGTATGAAGACCGCTTTATGCAAGAAAGACCAGTAAGTGTGTAGAGATTATCTATTGTTTTGCCCTTGTCATTCGGAGCACAAGCTGCAAGCTTTGTTTATTCCTACAAAACCATTTTTTAGACAATTATTTTTCCAAGAATTCTTACTTTCCATGCTTTTGCTTAGGGTCCATATCCAAGGGCAGCCGGAGCCGTCGAGAGGAGAGGCCCGTTTGGCAGACCAGAGGATGAGTACGGTCGAGGCGGGTATGAATATGAAGGAGGTCCCCGTTTTTACCCGAATGGAGGCGGCCCTCGAGGTTTCCATGACGAGCAGAGGGGCTACCAAGTGGAAGGCCACCACTTTCCTGAGCGCAGAGCGATCCCACCAGCACGAAGGGTAAAAATAAAACGATCCCTTTGTCCATTCTTTTTTGCTTTGCTATATCAATGTTTCCTTTGATGAAATGTTGCATTATTGAGTTTGGCGTTGTTTATGTGCAGTCGTTCTACCTTTTAAGTGTTGATGAAAATTAAATTGCATACAAAGAATACCTTAATCTACTGCATTTCGTTTTTTAATTATTTGTGTTTTTCAAAAAAATTTTTGTAGGAAGACTTTCCCTACAGAGTACCGAGAGAAGACCCTCATGCGGGACGATCCTTGGAGTTTGGGTAATTATTTCTCTTTCTTTTTTTTTCTTTTTTTTGCTAAAGTCTGAGATTGCTTGCCAGGATTTTATGCACAATACTCTTTCTTAGAGTATTAGAGACTAATTAATGTCTCTAATATTGTGAATCAATACTCTAAGGCAGAGTATTGATGCACAATACTCTTTTTTTAGAGTATTGTGCATCATGACATGGTGAACACATTTTGTAAATTTCCATCGGAAAACCTCATTCTTGCACCACAGTGGTGAGTTAGTCGTAAATACCAAAGCTTTAATATTTCATTGATCACCCATTGTTACACATTGGCTTAGATGATGGTCATATAATTTAGGAAACTTTAGTTTGGAGTTGGAGAATCTAAAATTTCTTTAATTGTTCTCCTTTTATTCAAGATCAAATTGATAAGGGCAACAGGAACAGGAGGGAACCCCAAACATTCCTTTCAGCCTCCAGCACAACAGCTTCTATTACTGTTTTAATGAAAAAAGATATTTATACTTTGTAATAACAGAGAAGATAAAAAAAAAAATACAAGTGAATGAACTGGCAATGCAGAAAAACTGTTTGCATTGTTCCTCGAACGCCATGCAGTTGTAATTTATTTTTTCTCCTCTCAGTGCTCGCGTACCTCCACCTCCCAATGTGAGAAGCCAGGGTGTTTATCCAGCTGCCAGATCGCTCCCAGAAAGCGGGGAAGACACATTAGTGCAAGCCATCCGTAACCTGGACAGAGGGTATGAAAAGGACTTGCTGATCACCGACCTGGGAATCCCTTTCTTAGCACTGTCTCAAGCTAATATTAGAAAGTCATTAGAGGCTGAAGATACAACATATTGGATAGATAATTCAATATTTTCATCCAAAATGAAGTTCAGTACATCATAGTGAACGCTAGATGGTGACTTTGCTCTGCTTTTTAGAATAACTGGAACCCTGAATAGAAATTGTGGCAAATTACTGGATCTAACCTCAAATGAGAATAATTTTCTGCTGGAAATGTTGGAATATGACAAATATAAGACTAATTAATGTCTCTCATCTTTCCAGGGAGGAAAGGGATCCTTACAGGAGGAAGGCAGCCCTGTTTCCACCCCTAAGAGAACGCTCCCCAGTCCGCCGCGAGGTGGCCCGCTCCCCTCACAGTCGCTCTGGCTCCAGCGTGAGCAGCAGAGGCTACTCGCCAGACAGGGCAAAGAACCTGCCTTTTTCCACGCAGCAAGGCAAGAGTATGTACAAAACATGCATTATTATTTTTTTATATATATATATATATATTTTAAAACTTTCTGAAATCAGGGTTATAAATAGCTTGAGGAACCATTTACAATTCTATTTCAGATATTAATAAATCTTGAATGTTTTAATATTTTACAACAGTTTGTTGGGTTTTTTGGGATGATCCAAAACTACTGTGAAAAGAAAATTCAACATTGTTTTCAGATTTTATTTCAGTTTCTTTGTAAAAGTATTGAAACTGAGATTTCCTTTCTACTTCCCAGTAATTCATTACTTTGCTTTGATATTTTGTTCTGTGGACCTCAAGCTACTAATTATTTAGTTATTGGACCAAGTCCTTCAAAAAGTCCATTCAACATAAGCATGTCAAGCATTTTCATGAGAGATCGAATTACATTTTCCAAAAGATTGAATACATGTAGGCATCGTTCAACAGAAAAAAAAAACAAACCCAAAAACAAATGTTTTGTCAAAAAATGTACATCCATTGTTTTCCATATCTTTGTTTGCCTTACCTCATTCTGTGTCTTCGACTGACAATCTGGCTGATTGGCTTTTCCAGATTTGGACGGTCCAGAGAGTCACACAGGTGTTTCTGAGCACCTCTGGGGGGCGCTCTTTCCTCAGAGCGGACATGACATTTTGGGTCTGTACACCAACTCACGTGAGCGAGCTTGGACCTGGGTGATGTTCTTTTTTTGCATTATTATAGTGCACAAAACATGACGAGGATTGCAGCAAAGTTAAACGGATTGAGACATTCTGGACTTGGGATATTTACTGTAAACATTTCAAGTTAAGACGCCAGCCCAGAAACTTCAGCTGTTTTTCACTTTAGTATATTTTTCACCCAGGTCTTAAGCAAGTTATCTCATGAGTTTTAAACATACAATAACCTAGTGGGGGGTAATCATTAATTAGAATAAGGAAGTCACCTCATCTTGTTGTTGTGAGGTACATTAGCACATTTCATTGTTCCCTCTCATTCACTGTCGTTACAATAGTTTTAATTTATAGTAGAATTCAATTTTTTTATATATTTGTTTTGTCAAAATTCACTGACAGATGTAATTAAAAACACATGAAAGTGCTAAAGTATCTCTTCAAGTGCTGCATGATTTATTTATTTATTGTTGCCTTCAAACCTTTAACTTTCCAATTTGCTCTGAGAGCTGGTGCTATCCTGTGCTTTTCATCTCACTTTGAGCTTTTGTCCTGTAGAATAAGTATTTGATTAGTATAGGTGCTTTCTTTACATTTCAGAACAGTAATGGTGTGTTTTGGTAATGATTCAACTGGCAGTGGGTGCATGATAAAATGGCCTTAAGACCGAGAAACGTGACTAAACCTTTCATTAAAGGGACCGGGTCATAGTTTTGAGTTTAGTTCAAATTCTTCTGACCAATACACTGTCCATCACATGTTTCTTAACCGCCACAAAAAAAAGGGCAAAAGCTCTGAAAGAATACAATTATTCTCGCAAAAGCAATTGTTGGAAAGAAAGCATAACTAAAACAAAACACACATTTCTTTTCATCCCACTATACTTCTCTAATCAGTCGTACCAATTCTAGGAAGTAAAAGATGCGGTTTCCAGGACAAATGAATGGAAAATGAAACGGTTAAGTCTGAGTAACTTGAGTTGACAGAAACGTGTCCTGCAGGAAACCCCTCTCCTCATTGCTGTCGTCCCGTCTGTCAGGGATCGTAAAGATGCCACCAGCTAATGCTCGGGGGAAGTAGTAGGAAGAAACTGTAGAGTGCCTGATGGATATTCATGAAGCCTGTGTTTTCACTGGCGTATTTTTATGTTTCTTTCCTGGGCACCAAGGGTTTACTTTAGTTTTTTTAATTGACCCAGAAAACCTAAACAATTTAAATGCGGGAAAAGAAAGAAAAACTATGTTAAAGACCACAATTAACGCGTTGCTGTGTTTTAGCTATGAAAGCTAAGCGCCTCTTTCTTGTTCTCCAGTTTCATCATCGAATCCCAGCTTCTCATCACTTTTTTTCAACCGCTTTCCTGAGTCTCCTTTTTGTGGTGGATAATGTTTCATGTTTGCTGCTGTTTTAAAGCTTGATGTATCAGTCCTTTGTTCTCTTTCTTCTTTGTTTTCCTCAAATTACAGACAAAATTCCTGGCTTGTCACGAGAAGGCTCCCCACAGAGTGCGACATCAAACAAGGTGAGCAACAAAGGAACGGTTGCTTAAATTTAAAGATATTCTGAGGGAAGTGGAGCATAAGGACCCTTTGTTTTTAACAAACAAACAACTTGGGTTTAAATTTTCTTATGCAAAACAACTTTATTAATCGGTTACCATGCTCTCTGCCTTCGACGCCGTCCAGCAGGGTGCATCTGGAACTTCTTAAATCCCATCCTCGCTGTGAGCGTTCAGTCCCACCGAAGCATGCTAATGGCTTTTAAAGCAGCGTTCAGCTGCAGCATAAAAAGCCATCAGGCCCGCACTCTGTTTATCTGTGGTATAAGCAGACTTCAGTCAGATGGACTGATAACGGTAAAGGAAAGTGGCTCAAATGTTGACCAAGTTTTAAAAAACTACTTTTAGTGTAACTCTCCTGCCCAAATTGTAAATAGTAGTTTGTTTTGCTCATGTCATCCATCTTCAGCTGCACAGAAAAGGGTAAATAAGATCAGATGTGATTGTGATTAGGGAGCTGTGTGTGTGTCTGTGTGTGCCTGTGTGTGCAGCAGAGGCCACCCAGAAGCAAAGGGTTAAGTCAGTAGCCCGAGTCATAACTTTATCACATGATCTTGACCGCAAAGACAGCGGAGTCCCAACAGAGCTCATTAAGATGTGTTTATGCTGATTACACTGAACAATCGTTTCCTTATTCTGATCAAGAGTCTGTTGGACGTTTAATTTTTTTTGAGACGTTGACGTGCCACACAAGTCTCGCAAACAACGTTTGGACTTGAATTTGAGAGGCTTCTGTATTTCACGCCTCATTCAGATTCGGAGCAAAAAAATTAAATGTTCTGAAAGAATTGTGTAATCCTGTAAGTTATATATGTTTTTGAGTGTTGGAATTGAACGATTTTTGCTACTCCAATATTGATTCGGTCTTCTGTTATTTTGTAGGTGTACTTGACTTTTATTTTTAAACAAATTCGAAGGGAATTAAAATACTTGGGGATTGTAGACAGAATTTATGCCATAAATAATAAAGTGAGAAAAATCCGTGGATGGATAACAATATGTGCAAAAGCACTCAAACTATTCCATTTATTGTTTGTATCCCACCGTGATCTTCTCCTTGTAGCTTTTGTAGTGGAAATTTTAGCAAAACACTTTTTTAAAAATACTATTCTAAAATGAAATGCAATTATTCAGAGAGGAAAACTTTTGTGTAATTGTGCTTCATCTCAAAAACAAGCAAATTTTTTCAGCATTTCCAACTACTTTGACTATAACAGAGTATTGTTAATGGGTTATGAAGTAGATGGCTCAAATATCTGCATCACTAGATTAACAGAAAGACAAGTTTTTCTAATCTCAGTTAAACAATATTCCAGGTACAGTAGAAGAAAAAATAATTTTATAGGTAAAAAAAAACATCTGCAATGGGGACTCATACTGGTTGGCATTTAGTCATTTAGTCTCTTTTTGACATTCCGAAAACGTTATCCCAGACTGCTTTTGTAGCGCCGACCTCATTTCCCTAAAGTGAAGCTGAGAGCAGTTGACTTGCAGCATTTTACAAGTCTGTGGTGAGTTTACTTTAATCAAAAACCCAATGAAACGGCTAAATTATGGTCACAATGGTGTTGTGGTTTCACTGAACCAGTTCAGAAGAGGTCTGGTCTACCACAGCCACAATCAAAAGCTGCTTTTTTATGTTGGGGACAAAGAGAGAGAGTTTTAAAAACTGAGAGGACGGTGTGCATTTTGCAAGAATGTATTTAGTTGGAAGTATAAAAAAAAAAAGAAACACACACAAACACAAACAGCGGGGTAACGAACGAGTTGTTGCAAGATACAGACATGCCTCTGTCTGACGCATGTCCCGTTCAATCAATGCTGTGATAAGTTTGTTACTCTCCCACCTCTCCACACACACACAAACACGTGGTTCTGCTGGGTTTGATCTGTGCTGCGGTGCATTGTTGATCCATTCCTGGGGCACATGCCCATAAAGTTGGCAGAGATGAAAGCCTTTTGCTGTGCACATTCAGTAAAGCTTGTTCTAATAGACTGGGTCACTGCCTGCTGTGGCCATTCTACACACACACACGCACACACACGCACACAGACATAGGCAGGCTTTCTGGAGCCATCTCTGACTGAAGAGACCAAAGAGGGTAACTATAGAGCAGCTCCACCTCTGGCTGTGAGCCAAGGTGGTCTATGGGTGGAGAGCTGGATTTGGAACAAAGGAAAGGTCACCAGGAGGTTCATCTCTGCACAAAAATCCTCTTTGTTGCCACGTCATATTTGACCACGTAAAATAACAAGATACGTGGATTTTTGCATCTTGCAGAAGTATTCTTAACCTTTGAACTTTTTTTAATTATTATTTTACAATCACAAATGAACTTCAGTACTATTTTTTGGGGTAGGCCAATGGAAATCTGTGCAGACATGTGAAGGTGAATGAAAAGGATGAATTGTTTTTCACAGTTTCAGAAATAAAGAACTGAACTGCCATGAGCGCTTCTATTTAATTACCCTGAATCAGTTATTTGTATAACCACCTTTTCTGCAATTAAAGCTGCAAGTCTTACAGGGTAACTCAGTCCGTTCTGCCCATTTTTGAAAACTCTGTTCATTCTTTGTTGTAAGATGTCTCTAGCCGAGTCCGACCGGATAGAGAGAGTCTGAACCCGTGTTCAGAGCTTTCCACAGATTCCATCACGTTTCATGGTGGGGAAGCTGTGTTCAGGGTGAAGGTTTGAGCTCTAATATGATCAGTGCAGCTATTTTCCACAGCAAACTCTAAACAGGATTTCTTACCGCTTATTTTTCCAACAAAGGTTTCTCTGGACGTTTAGTTTGTTCCATTGCCAAATTCTCCCGCTTTTTCTCCTGACCTCTTTGCTGCTTCTCTGATTTATGCTCCCCTTGTCTGGTTTAGGTGGGCGGCCTCGTCTTGGTGGGTTTAGAGTTGTGCCATATTCTGTTCATTTTTGGGAGATGGATTGATTCTATGTGACATGTTCAAAGCCGAGGGTATTGTTTCATAACCGAACCCTGCGTTGAACTTCACCGCAGCGGTATCCCTGATTTGTCTGCTGTGTTTCTTCTTCTTCTTGACAATGTTTGTTCACTAACGTCTTCTGAAAAGCCTCTGAGAGCTTCACAGAATGTCTCTTATTTCTACTGAGATTAAATTAACAGGACTTAGAAAAGCAGTGCTGAATAGTTTGCGTGGGATTTTATTTCAGGGTATTTGAGGAAAGGGGTCTGAAAACGAAATGCCGCTGTTTTTTAAAGGTTCACCTGTTTGTTTTCACTTCACAACTACTTCATGTTGATCTTTCACAGAAAACTCCTATAAAAATGAAGAAAGTTTGTGGTTAAAATTGGGGAAAAGTTTGTTTCTATATTTACGAGGTATCATAAGCTTTATCTGTTTCATTTTCGATATATAAAGCAATAGCTTCTGCATTGTAGCAATTATTCCTACAATATCACCTTATTGTAAAGCACTACTTTCTCAGTCAGTACTAGTGCTTGGAGTCTCATGTTTAGAAAATCCCTGGCAATGGCAGCAATACATCTCCGATGAATGCAGACTGTTAGAACATTGGAAACATAAATCCTTATTTAATTTTAGACCATGCAGGCATTTATGTTTGTCTAAGCTAAAAATATCTTGGAATGAAAATGTCTTTTTGTTCTTACGTGTTTTTTTGTCACGTATACTCTAAAAAGGACCACATTCACGTTGTTCCCTATATGTGGAAAAAATAAGCTTTGACTTGAGAGCAAACCCAGTTGAGCTTTTTTTCCAGCCACTTAAAATAAGGCTCGGTTATGGTTGCTTTCATTATTAACTCGAGCAAAGGAGGCCAAAGCCTGACAAATGTGATCTTTCATATGTGCACAAGCGTGTACGTAGGTCTTCTCCCTGGAGCTACGCTCAGCACTGAATAGGAAGGAATAATTGGATGATTCCTTATGAGTTGTGCTTTTCATTTTTAGACCGCAGCCGGACTTGATGCTCCGTCGCTTGTAATGTCTTTACTTGAACTTCTAGGAATGAAAGATGACTTGTTTCGTTGCCCGTTTCCCCTGGATGAATGAGTGAACTTTAGTCCTGGTTGGGCAGTTCTGCTCCTTGGCTGTCAAACTCTCGTAGAATCAGGAAATGAGCAGAAATGCGTCCCAATTTATGCACAATTTCCAGTATGCTCATTAGAAAGCTTGATTTTTGTTGTGATGCTTCCCAGTTTCTGAAGTTCCTGTCCAAAACTTGACAAGTCAGTAAATAGAAACCGCTCGAGTATTATTAGATTAACTTTGATACACAATGAAAACATCAACAGGAATCCTAATGTTCCCTTTTGCTTTTCTTTGTAGTTGTAGTTCAAAGTTGAGCTTACTCATTTGTCATAAGTGACTCTGACTTTTCATGTTGGAAAAACTGCTGTAAAGCCAAAGCCTTTTCCGCTATGCTTCATCAACTTCGGCTTCCTATAAAAGAAGTAACAGTAGGTCAGGTCGTGGTGATCCACTGATGCTGGGCTTCAGGTTACTGACCCACCACACTCCAAGTCTTCCTTTGCTTCAAAGTCTTGTTTTTAAATCTGCTTTTCTGTTTCTTAGCATCCTTTAAAGCCAGGATTCACATAAAGCTCTCTTCTCCTCTCCCTACAGGAGGAAAGTAATCCTCCAGAGGCAGAAAAGGAGGAACCAATCGTGGCTTCGGTCACTGAAGACGGCAAAAAGTCTACAGAGAACCTAGAAGAGAGGCGAACCATGGCCATCGCAGCCAAAGCCAAGGAGATAGAAAAGGTACTTGTAGTGCAATGATTCTACTTATAACTAGTGATCTGCCATTTTTAAATATCACATTTTAATTTATTGTGCTGCACTTGAAAGGTGCTGAGATGGAAGCATTTACATTGCACCGATAAGGCTAATAACAATCTTTCCAGGACGTTTTTAGAGCTGATCTCAAATTTTTTTGATCTGATTTGCAAATGAAAATACTACTACTTAGGATAAACTAAATAAAAAAAAATAACACTGCTAATGAAGCCCATGTATTCTGCTAATACTGTGTAGAAACTCAAGATTACACTTTGAGATTTTGTGATTTGGTTTTGCTGCAAACGCTGCTATAATGTTCTGAAGCTCAGAATTTTTTTTTTTCTATTTTGCTTTTGCTCCTTATAAAAGTGTCAAGTTGTGTTGTAGCTCTTGGAACAGTTCTGATATGCTTGCAACTGAACAAAGTTTGGGTCTAGCTGTTCATGCACAATAAACGCAAAGTTTAACAGAGCTTGCAGCACCCCAGGCTAAAGGTTCCAGACGTGCTCACTTGTCTGATGAAGGCCGTTCCCGGACCAGTGAACGCTACCGTTGGTTTACTTGAAACCATTAAATCCTGAGCTAACTCTGCCCTGGAGGACACATTTCACTCTCTCACGTCGAGCTGCACCAGTGAGCCTGCAGCTTTGTCGCAGTGTTGTTGCTGACGCCGGGGCTTCCCTCCTGCTTTACAGCCCAACTGTTTAGGCCTTGTGGTCTCGTTCTAACTCACGTGACGGGCCACTTTAATCGCCTCCTCTCACTGGTAAGCAACATAATCTCACATTGGAAGATTTTTCGGGGAGAAAAATGAACCCAAAGCATAGAGTTAATTAACACGTTTCAATGTGTCATTATGCTATCTTCGTTAAATGTTTCTATACTGATACATGTGGCTGACTCTGTAGGTCAGATTTTTCATTTTAATGCAAGATTTTGTTTCAGAATGTGTCCTGCTTTATGTTATCAGAGCTCTTTGTCAAATATCAACAAATTAGAAAGGGGGAGCCTGGGGAGGGAATTAAATATTTACTTAGTCTTTTTTTGTTTTTTTTACTTCTGCAACTCCAGCTTTCTGTTCTGTCGTTGCTCTCTGAAGCTTTTATAATTTCCAGATTTTGAAGGTTGTTTGTCATTTAGTTTTCCATAAGAGAACAGACTGTTTGGACATAATCCTGCCAGACAAAAGTAATTTAATCAACATTTCTCATAAGGTACACATCTCTACTGCGTTCTTCCTTTTCCTCGTAGTTGGTGAATTAATTTTTGAACAGTTGGCAACTCAGTTCAGTAACTAAAACCTAAGAGCTGCTTTCACACCGACTTTCCACCAGCAGCTATAAAATGTCTGAGAGCACTCGTCAGGTTTGCTGGCCATAATTTGCCATCATCCCTTTAACATTCAGGTAAAGGGACTTTGTTTATTTTACGCTGTAATAACACAATTACCCTCACTTTTGCAGTGAGTCAAAGCAGTATTCCTCCTCACATGACAACTGTGGGCCAGTTGTCATGTGAGGCCACATGTTTGGTTTTCTGCTCTCCGTTTTGATTTAGTGCCCTCACAGACACAAACGCACAGAATCAAGCAGCTCCTAAAAACACTCGGCAACCTTCTGACTTTGAAACCTTAACGGGCCACCTCGATCTTGAAGCTAGCTTGATCTGAAACCCGGCCGTAGTGGTTGGCGTGAGTGACGAGGCATGCAGGCTATAAAAGGGGTTAGTTTTACTCCTGACTGCCCAGGCTGTGGAACAAAGGCAGTTTTATGTCGTTGGGTTAGGAGTATAAATAGATTTGGCCGCAGAAGAACTGCTGAGCGCTTTGTCTGTTTTTGTTAAAAAGATTGCAGAGCTGGATGGGGATGGTTGTCCTGTTTTTCAGTCTGTCTTAATCTACATTCTTTGGCGAAGGGGAGATACAAACACACAACCTAAAACGTTTATGCCCGCCTTCAAAATACCATGCTTGTTGTCATATAAACATAAAACGGCTCCAATAATTTTTAAGTGTGCACATGTATAAATACTTTGGTTTATAGCTCTTCTGATAGCATGTCTTCTTGAGTTCAGACTCTTACATTGTTACGAATCCGAATAGCTTATTACTGTTAGGATTTTACTGATGGTTGCGGAAAGGTTTCCGATGATCAGCAGAATCATAAAGACTTATTGAACTGGCATTCTAAGCATCTGATTATTCTCTGCAAAGCTGCCAAAACAATGACAGATGAGTTTATGCCTTTTTATAGTGTTAATAAAGAAGTGAGGTAAATATGAGAACCTTATGTATGTATAAAGTACATAAAGCGAATGTTACTAATTGTAATAGTTATACTTTTGCTAATGTTAAACTGATATCTCTTGTAAATTTAGATACAGTCATGGTGTCATTTTTTTCATACTGCGCATTTACATACTGCAATAGAAAACCTTACTTGGTAGATTTTGGATTGTATTGAAATTAATTCTAGTCATGAAGATTTTTTTTGCAACTTTTTAAAAATACATTTTAAAAATGTTTTTTTCTTTTTAATTCTAATTTTACCAAACCTTTCATATTAAATCTGGATACATTTTTCCAATAATTTTGTCTGATTTTTGGGTGACTTGAGGAGCGTAAATACACAAGGACTCTTAAGAAAGAAGCTCTTATTCTGTCAAGAACTACTTCTTTTTTATTCCTGATTGGATAACCGGATGGATTTTAGGAAGTGGGACTCATTTTCAGCACATTGTTTTGTAGGAACGGCTTCTTCCTGTATTCATAGAAGCCGCTGTCCGCACACTTGATTGAACACATCCTGAGAGAATAGTATGAATAGTTAGCTGCTGAGTAAGACCAGCAGACGTTGTGTGAATAACATCCCAACTCATGTTATACATACACAAGGTGTGTATGGAACACACCCAGTTTAAAGGACAGGATGTCACCATCTGGTTTGGAAACTGTATCCTGATGACCAGTGTACGTTTCCTCTGAAGTGATTGATGTGACTGTTTCTTCCTATTGTTAAAGTAAATCATTTAAAAACCAACTCCAATTTTTGTCCCCTCCCTCTGCAAGTATTTGCAGAAGGTTTTGACTTATTGGGTCCAGGTCATATTAAGCAAAGAGCTTAATACTAACCTGAAACACTTAGTTACTTAGTATTTATTACTTAGTTACTGTTCTCTGGTCATTTTGATCAGGAAAGGGTGAAAGAGAAATCCACAGTACATGTAAACTAATCCAACCAGTGTCTTACACAGTCTAAGAGAAATCTTTAAATTCTAGACTTGATTATTCCACTAAGTGAAGTTATTATGCAAATAACCTCTGGTAAATAACAGGTTGTCTATCTGACATTCAAATTACTACTTTTGTTCTATATTTGCTGCAACAAAATGTGTTTAAATGAAACTCATTGATTTATTTACTTCTTTTTCACTCTTGAGTTGCACACACAACCTCTACTGTACACAAGAATGGAATTTTGAAATGTAAATAGTGAAAATTCATTTTTACCCTAATCTGTCTATCTGGGGAAGAGAAACAAAATTTTATTTCTTTTACGCCCATGATTTCTTTTAACAAACATATGCATGTGAAGGCTTTTTAACACACCTTTATTATTATTATTATTTTGAGGATTATCACTTTTGATGTATTAATGGGTTATAAATATTGACCGATGAGCCTTCAGGTTTTGTCCAACTCTTGCTAACGTTCCATTCATCATAGAATATATTAGATACTTGCTTCTGTTTTCCGATTGTGGGTTACTTTTTAAAGCCTATCCTAATGTTACAAATAGATAAAACCCTGTTTGACAGCAGCAGTTCTCCGTTCTGGAACTTTCTTCTCTTGCGAGCGCGCGTTGTGTTCTAGGAACGACGTGAAAATCTATAAATATGTTGGTGAGTCAGTGCGCCCCGCGGTGCAGACGCCGCTGTTGGTGAATGACTGAAACTCTGTCTTGCCTGGCCTAATTTACAACACACAGCCTGATGGGCACATACTTGTATTTATGCATTTTTACATGAGTTGTGTTTGTGAATCAGCCCTCTAGCTCATTTACTTGTGTAACCTCATCAGTGTCTGTGAATTAATTTTGTTCTGACTCAAGAAAAAGAAAACTCGGGGATAGATGAGGCTGACTAGCTAATTAAATGTCATGTTGTGAAATGGTGTCAGTTTTTTGGCCCATAAATGCAATTTTTTAACCTGGATAACCTGTTGGCACACGCAAATGCTTATATCTTGGAAAATTGCAACGTATATTCATACATGTCGATTCTGTATTTTTCACATTTTGTCAGTTATAACCAATGTTTCTTCTGGAATGTGTTTCAATCAGATTGGATGGAGTGTATTTTAGATATGCCTTCTTTGTTTTATGTTTTTTTTTGTTTGTTTGTTTGTTTGGTTTTTTTGCCCATCTTTCTGCTGATTCTTATTTTCTGTGCAGTTTTAAACTGTATAGCTTTTGCTACTTTCCAGGTGTGGATCTGTTGGGTAAGGATGTGTTTGCCCTCAAGACGACTTTAAATTCAGACCCATGGTTCTTGAATCTGCTCTAAAATTCCAACAAAGAACACTAACAAAACCTACTATTTAAAAAAAAATAAATAAAAATAAATGAAGTTCAAAACTATTTTTAAAATATTGGATTTCAGTCTAGAATAGCCCATTCTTCAATTGACAAGTTCAGACGTTTTCTAAATAAATTTGGATACAAAAATCTGGAAACTGAGTGTGCATAAGTATTGATTTAGTCTGGTCTTTGACTGGACCAAATCTGAATCTGTAATTCAGATCAATAAAAAGATACATTCTTTTTATCTATCTGAATAATTCCATCGTTGCTCTGGCTGTGTCTTGACCAATCCAGCTGGGTGTTAAATCTCAGCCGCAGTCTAAAGTCTTCTGCAGCATCTAAAAGCCTTTTGCTTTCGGGATTGTCCTCCATTTTACCATCAACTTGGGACAGCCTCCTGCTACAGAAAGACATCGTATTTCGCTCTGGGGTAATATCCTTTTTAATAAAACCTTCACACAGCTGCTAAATTTATACTGAGATTAAACTGCACACAGACCGTTTGCTACATCCCACTAAAATAGTTTGCGGTTGCACTTTGTTCAAATGTGAAAAGTCGTAAACAGTCTAATGCTTTTCCAATGCAACGTTTTTGTTTTACCACTCCAACACGTGTAGAAATGATAGTCACTTCACTGTGGAGAATTTTGAAGCACAGAAATGTCCTTTGCTCATTTAACGCCAGACGAAACCTCTAAACACCAATTAAATGTTTTTTTAAAAATTATTATTACTATTGTTTCTCAGCTTGTTTCAAGTGGGCTCATTAAATACAAGAGAAGAATAAGTCTTTTATGTTCTGACACTGCTTTGTAAGCTCAAGTGTAGTGCTGTGAAGTGTTTGCATCCAGACTGGTAGAGAAGGATGGAGGCGGTTCCTCACCCCCAAATTAGAGGCTTAATAATCTATAAATAATATGTGAAAACTTCAGTTTTTTATTATAGCAAAAAGAAAGTAATCACACTTCCCTGTCCTTCAGATCTACAGGCAGGATTGCGAGACGTTTGGAATGGTGGTCAAAATGTTGGTGGCAAAGGATCCCAGCTTGGAGAAGCAGCTGCAAGTCCCGCTCAGAGAGAACCTCGGGGAGATACGCGAGCGCTGCCTGGAGGACCTCAAGCACTTCATCAAAGAGCTGGATGAGGACGTCCGGTTTCCAGAACCATCCGTCTCTGACTCTGTCACTCCTGCCATGACCCAGAAACTCTTAAAAACCAGCGTGAACCACAGCTCGTCTTCTTTCTGATGTGCTTCGTCTACATCCATTCCGATTAATGTGAGACTGAGGATTTTTATTTTATTACTTTTTTTTTTTATTATTAACAGCTCAGATTTAGGATTGCTGGACTTGAACATACTGCAGGTCACAGCAACCTGAGGAACTCGTCGCAGGAGCGAACAGTGTTATTTTTGAATGGACCATTTTTACCTTCAGGTTTTCTATGAAAAAATGTAAAAACATTAAGATTGTTTTTTTTTTTGTTGTTGTTTAAATATTTAAAAACTACAAGTCTCCATGACTCTTATGATGTTTAATATGGCTTTCAGTTTTGAAGCATGAAAGTTTTGTTTTCTGATATGTAACTTGAATAAATATGTATCACTCGGTGCTGCAATAGACAGAAATCAAGTCGTCGTAAAAGTTTGTACTGTTAAAATATTTGAAATTGCCTTTCTCAATCTGACATTTCTTAAAAACCAAAATGCACAAAATTTTACCATTTTTAGATATTCCCAAAATATTAAGAGTCAAATCCATCCTTATGTCTTGCAAAGATATAATGTTCTTTCCCATTATTGAAAAGTGGCTGAAAAGGAAAAAGGCCTTTAAGATTCATACTTCAGGAAAACCAGAAGTTATACATTACTAAATCAAAAGTGTATAGATAGGCCGACTTCAAGTAATTGGGCTAAAGAAGTTACATTGTAAAAATCCTCATGCAGTTATGAATATTATCACACATTTACCAGAATGACTGCATGTTTTTTGGGGGAGGGTTTTTTCCCATTTTAAGGACTTTCTAAGCAAATTATGTCCCATATGTTTGCAGAATAGAAAGTCAGGGATGTCTCTGCCATTTTGAAGTGACGAGGAGAAGTTGCCCGTTTATTTTTGTTTATTTTTATATTTTCTTTGTCTTGTTTGTAACTCAGCGACACAAGAATTCATGGATCACTCGTAAAGATTTTTTATTTTTTTTTGACAAACCTGATCAGCTTAAAAAAACCATAGAAATTAAAGACGGTACTTCAGTTGTATTTAAAAGGAGAGGTATTTAACTTTTATTGAAACGACTTTTGTTAAAGAAATTATCATTCACCGTCACTTGGTGGTTTTTATAATTCCTCACCCAACAGTTTCAGTTTTGACAGCTTAAAAAAGGCTGCAAGTGTAGATGTGGCTAATGTTAGCAAGCCTCTATGTTTTTGTCACCATGTCTTGACTTATAAGAAACAAGGACTGCTTGGCTTTGAACTCTTATCGGTTTCCCCTTTTGAAGAGCAAGAGAAGTATGTCTTTTTGTCATGTATCCATGCCCCTAGACAACGAGCAGTTTGAGATTTTTTTTTCTTGTCTTTTCCATTTTTTGTTTGGCAGTGTTTCAAAATGGAAAAGAATCTTTAAAAAAAGATGACTCGAAAGTTGTTGCTGGAGAAGTTTCTAGAATAAACAATTTTTTTGTTACCAAGTTACTAACTTGGAAACACTCCATTGAAGTGAAGTTATTGGTTATGTTTTTGCAAAAGTTACTTTAAAACCGGAAATAACTTGGCTGTCCTTCAACTTAGAAAGATCAATAGTACGTTTTTGTATAGAAAAAAAAAACATTTGCGCAATTTTCGTGGGATCAAGTGCAAATATTAGGGAAAAATGGCAACCCGGTAAAACCTGGTCAGTTTTTTGTTTTTTACTTTTTCTGTCTATAGACATATTTGAGTAGCTTTTTGTATTGTAGCCATTTGCTGGCTTTTGAATGTCAAGACTACCTAGCTTGCATTGCTTTCATATTTTCTTGTTTTCCCTTCTTGTTTCAGTATTTATGAAGTTTGTCGACTTGACATCAAAATTAGAAAAAAAAAACAAAAACCATTGTGTTACAAATTGTGTAATCCGATTCAAGCAGAGCATTCTTGAACAATTGGAGAAAAAATATTTATTGCAAGCACCTTCACATCACAGAGCGTACGCTGGTTATCTTAGAGCAATGCTGGTGGTCAGGTGCAAATACGGGTGTGTTGCTGCCAGTTCTGTACATGGTTTGTGATTACATAATATGGAAGGTGTTGCAAACATCAAACAGGGAACAATGTGGCCTTTTTCTGCGGACAACTTGGTGATTCCTCCCACTCAAGCAAAACGCTTTTTACACTTTTAAATGAGTATAAAATACTAGAGCTGAAATTTTAACTTATTTACATTTTTATGTTGTCTTAGTTAAACATTAAATAGTTATTTGGTTAGCTTCTTGGCTCTACTTGCATTGTTAACCTCTGGGGGGGCAAAAATGTTTTTACCATATGCCATATTTACCATTGCAAAACTATTCACTGAACATAAAATCCTCTCGGTGAAATTCCAAACTTCCACTGGTTTTCAAATCCTATCAATGTCGAACATTTTAACCGGCTTTGCATGCACGTAACAAGTGTCTAAACAGCTCAGTAATGGCCTCTTTACAGAATATGACAGACCTAATTAAAAATCTTCACCATATTGCTTTGTGTAGTGCACCTCATAAGATTAATGGCCTGGTTCGCTAAGAAATGATACAGTTTTTGGAGCTATGGCCCTTTCTGCAACCAGTCTGTGAGCCATGGCTGAGGGCCGTGAGTGCGGTCACCCTTGTTGGGTAGTCTTCTGCATAGTAGCGCCCAACCGCTCGGGGTTGTGGGATTGGTTGGCCAAGAAAATAACCCTCTTCCTCAGAGTCTGATGATGAGGAAGAGCAAGTTGAGCACCAGTCGTCCTCATCTCTGTGGAGACCCATGAAATGTTCAAACTGCGGGTCATTCTGGTTGGAGCTACGGAGCATATAGTCAGATCGGGTTTGGGAGTAGGCCAGCGGCAGCATGTGTGCAGGGTTCTGAAGATGCATCGCACCATATGGTGGACTTACCATACCCTGCTGCTGAGGCTCAAACAGCCTCTGCGCCCTCTCTACAGGTACCATGTGAAGCGCATTGTCCGAGCGAGTTTTGCGGCTCCTGTGGCGCCGACTCCGACGGCGGTGTTGGGGCCTGCTTCTGCTGTGGTGGCTTGTCGAGTGGCTTCTTGCTCTGCCAGGTTCCTCTGGGCAGTACGCCCTCCTTTGTGGCTTCTCACTCATGGGATGTTTCATAACACTAACCTCAAATCCATCATTATATCCATTGTCCACTGTGTCCTCTGAGAACTTGACCATTTGAGGAGGCCTGGATTGTGACTTGCTCCTCCTTAGAGCCGGAGCTTGAACAAAAGATCCGGGGAGGCCTTCTGAACGTGGAGATATTGCGTGAAGTCCTGTGGGAGCACCAACCCTCATTCCAAGCCCTATCCCATTCTCAGCCTCCTCGACTCTCTTTTCCATGTTAAGACTTAGGGACTTTGCACTGTGGTGTATGTGGGATGAATTAAATGTTCCCATGTTGCTCATTTTCTCGCACTCAACAGTCATGGAAGAATCTTGGATGCCATGAAGGTTGTAGACTGTGGGTGCATCTCCATCCAGTGATGCACCTGAAATAGAGTGAAAAAGGAATATTTGTTAGAATGTGTTTTTGAGATCAAAAAGAAGAAGAACCGAATGAGGACGTAAAGCATTATAGATACCAGTGATGTTTGACAAAGCAAGGGAATCCATGGAGTCTCCAACACCCTTCTCAGCCTTCCTTAGCTCGTCAGCAATACACTCCAGGGAGTCCTCGTACCACTCCCTTGTATCTGGCCAAAAAGCCTGCTTTCCTACTCCAGACTGATCCTGTTCTTGGTCATACTCTAGCTCTTGGATCTTTCTGGCACTGGCAGGACCTGGATGGCTTCCATATGCCGAGTCTCCGAGGCCGTCCTGTGACTGGGCCCAGTACATTTCAGGTAGATGCTTCTTGTCCATCAAGCCTGGACTGAGGCTGTTGGCTCGAGACTGATCAGAAGTCTGGCTCTGTGTGGGACTGTTGGGGGCGGGGGACGAGGGGTTAAGACCCACAGGTTTTGAATCAGACTTCAGCCAGGGATCTGTCATACTTATTACCTGCGTTGAGTCACTGTTGGGGCTTGGTGATTTTAAGGACGGTGGCTGATGTTGGTGCAGCATGCCACGATCACCAAACTTGAGCAAGAGTTGAGTCATATAGTCCTCATGCTGAGCCCACTCCTCTGGATCCTCCTCTCCACCAGCATCCTGTTCCTCCCGCTCCCTCCAGAACCTCTCCTCCTCCAGACTGAGACGGGTTAGTTTGCTCCCCACTATATCAATGTCACCATCGCCATCTCTGTCCTCTTCACCCTCCCCAAACCTGTGCTCGTAATCCCTCCCTGTAGTAGGAGGGCTAAATAGCTGTGACTGTCGCCACTGTTCAGCGGGCCTACTGCTTTTCCCCATGCGGACGCTCCGTCGGGATTCACGAGAGCGGGCTGACTGGAAAGCGGAATCTGATGAGTCTGAGGCATGTACATCTTCCCCCTGGCTGCAGGCCTTTGAGCAATAGATGCGCCCTTGCTTGGGTAAGAAGGGACAACCCAGCAAAGATGTCTTGCACTGAGCACAACAGAAGCACTGGTCTGTGGCGTGCCAGTGGACGCCTTCATAGGTCATCTGGGCATGGTCAACACCTAGAGAAATTAAAGTAAGAATCGTGTTACCGTGATCTTGTTTTCATGTGTCTGTCCAGGCATTGATATGGAATCTTTTTTCAATATGTTCCACATTTTGTTACATTAAAGCTGTAATTTTTTTATTTTTAACGAGTAATTTGTACTCAAGGTGCTACTTGGTAGATTGAGCTTTGGAATGAACACAAATGCTGCCACAAGTTTCATGTTTTAACACTCAAATTCATGCATAGATATATGTTTGTCACAAAATTTTTCTCAAGATTTTAAATATGACTTACCAATGTTTTCACCACAGGCCTCACAGTACTCTGCATACAGCGACTCAAAGCACCCACAGCAGTAGGGCCGTCCATTTTTCATGATGTACCGCTGTCCACCTAGCATAGTCCCACACTCAAAACAGGCAAAGTGCTTCATGTGCCAGTGACGTCCCTCGGCCTCGGTGCATTCATCTGCAAAGATGATCTATGTATATTTGCAAAACCATTGTTAGTTTGCATCAACTTAAAATACAACAGTTGCTAGTTACATAATCGGGCCAATTACCTCGTCACAAGAAGAGCATCGAGGTTTCATGAGCTCTGCATGGTGTCTCCCGCAGAAGATCTTGCCATTTTGATAGAAATAGATGAGATCCACCAGAAGCTCCTGGCACATGGAGCATGCAAAGCATGCTGGGTGCCAACAGGGACCTGGCCCTGCTCTGGAGGCAAAAATGGCCATCTCCCCTCCACTAATGCCACCACAACACTGTCAAACACAAACAGGAGGTAATTACTCTTCCTTGCAAATCTAAGTAAGGCAGATTGCGAAATAAACCTCAAAATAGGCATGTTGAATGGATTAAATCAGTAAGTTTTTATTCTATTAGAGTATAACAATAAAGAAATTCTCCCTCTATTGCCAATCCAATCATCGTCACTCAAAACCCTCCACAAGTGGGGTAGGTGACAAAAGGATATTGCAAGGAAGATGACTATTCACAAGCATATTCCCGAAAGGTTTAGTGGAAGGTAAAATGAATTAAAAACAGCAGGCTTGAGTGGATTATGAAGCGAACCCCATCCAAGCCAAAGTCTTTGTAGAGATTTACAAGGTGCGAACTGCGGCTTAAGTGAGTGCTTCAAGAGCCACCAAAGACGGATGCATCTACAGCTGCGGCATTCCTTGTGTTAGACACCAGATCCAGCAATGCAGCTGAGCCTTTAATAAAGCAAGATCGACTTCCTTCACACCTCAGCAGCGGGGTCGGCTGTCCGCCTTCATGCCACTCTGTACGAAGGGAGTGATTTATCCAAAGAAAAGCAACTGCAGGCGAAGAACTTGGGAGCGTTTACAGTACGGTACAAAGACATACCTGCAGCTCGGTGGCATTCTTATATTAGAACTTCACTTTTCATTGACATACACTTGTATATCTGCTAAGTTTTAATTTTCGCAAAGACAGCAAAAACGTATTTTGAACATACTGAAGCTAAAGATTATTTGGGGACCTATACTATTTTTTTTTCTTGCCTCGTCCAATTGTCAGTAATTCGTAGGAAAGAACCTCTAGTCTGTAAAGTGGCCTTGGCCTTCTGACAAAAGGTCTCATGACTCCATTGAGATCGTTAAAGCCTGCCTGAACATGCAGTCTTTATATAACTAGGCATATTTATAAGGCATTCATAGGGTACTGTGGGACAGCATGCCCAGCTGTTAGCCATTATGACCACTTTGGACAGACTGGGGCCTTGAAAACTGTGGTGTTGCATATCACCACAAGCCAAGCCTAGCAAAGCGATGAGGTTAGTGTTGTCATTAAAAGGCCTGTGGTTGACAATAGCATATGTTTGCAGAGCTGCCGTAAAGATATGCATGTCCGGTCCAACGTGTGTGTATGGCGTCCGTTGGAATCCTGGGAGCA